AAGCACCATTGAAAGTTGCTACATTGTCCAGCTCGAAATCAACTGAAATAGGTATTTCATGAACTTTTATCTCTCTATTTAGGAATAGTTAGACTTAGGTTTGTGAATGAAAGATGTTGTATTCATAGCCCTGAAACCATACATGTGCTTAGCTTTCATTTATATTAATCGTGCTAGGAGAATTTCATCCATGAAATTTCTGAAAAAACTAGGTTAGAAATTAGGGCCAGAGAAATTTTCTCTGGTCTTTGAGAGTTAGCTTAAGTTTTTTATATGGTTAGATTCGTTGTTTGATGCTCTACAAGTTTCATGTTTTGAGTTTTGTCAAAAAAGCATTGAATCAGGAGATACAGGTTTGTACACAGAAGGCGCGTTTTTGTTTGAACAGAGGAAGAAAATGAAGTAGTTGGGTTGGGCCTGGCTACTTCCTGCTTTTCACACCCCATTTTTCAGTTTCATACCCCCCCTGGCCCATTTTCTTGTATTTGACTATTTTTGCATTTTTATTATCTTTTCTGACTTTGATATTTTATTTTCAAACATGAAAAATGATCCAAAAATATTTTTATAATTTTTTACATTTATTTGGTATTTATTTTTATTTTTACTAGTATAAAAATGTTTATATGCTTTTATATCATTTTGTTTAAATTAAAAAAATAATACAAATAATACTCTTATTTTCATTTATTACTTTTATACACATTTAAAAATACTTTCTTGAAATATATACATTTTGTAAATAATTTATTTTATTTTTATACACACTTAATATATTTAATACATATATATACATATATACTATATTTTATAAATAATTAGAACAAAAAACACAAAAATAATACATTTTTATTTTTATTAATATTTTATACTAAAAATACCTTTTTTTCAATATATTTTATTTTTTGTACAAATTGATGCATTATTGTATATAAATAATAAATAATACTATTTATTTAAGAAATTAGGGTTTTTGCCCTAAAAACAAAAATAATTAAAATTGACTTTTTATTTATTTACATTTCACGTTAAAAATACTTTTTTTACATACAGAAAAACCTTTTTTGCATAATACATTTTATTTAATATTTATTTATTGTATTTATTTAAATATTGTACATTTAATTGTTATGCCTTACACATTCAATTTGGTTGTAATAATTTAAAATTTAATTTCTTGTCTAAATAATCCCCTATTCAAAATTGTACCCTCTCCCTATATCATGTTGTAATAGTGTAGAATTTAAATTCTCGCACCTTTAAGCTTTCAATTATGCCATGACTAGACTTAGGGTTTGTATGCAAAATCAAATTAACAAATAGTTTGACCTAATCAAAGACAAAAATGCATGAAAAAATAAACACAATGCACACTTGCACCCCTAGGGTTTCAATCCACTTGTTGCCTTCAAAAATGGGTCATGATATGCATGTCAAGTACTTTGGCAAAACAAAAACAAAACAAAGATCATAGTCCCTCGATGACGCTATCTGAGTTGCCTAAACAAAATGATCAAGTCCCTCAAGAAAATTGCCAAAGATACTTGACACTATTGCTATCATGGTCTATACGATGACCCGTTCCTGTCCCGTTTAAAATCCTAACACAAGGTTGTTCATCAAACACAATGATGAAGCAACACTGTTAAAAGGGTTAAAAACATAAGAAAGATCTTTGCGTAAAATAGGGTAGATAACTCTTAGTTACTTGATCAAAGCTTGCAAAAAACATCCTTGCTATCTTCAAAACACACTTCACCACACAATTTCAAAACCCTACTTTCAAACATTGAAAATTTTCAAAAGACAAAACACCTTTGTATACATTCAAAACAAGAATCATTACAAAGGTTGCCACAACGATGGCCTCTTTTCAAAACATCTTTTCAAAACCACACACAAAGCACCATTTCAAACAATTGAAGAGCACCATTTCAAACAATTGAAAAGCAAAGCAAGTGATCTAAGCAAGTAACTAAGAGTCCATGGATAACCATGGATAGAAAGGGTTCTAATACCTTCCCTTTCTATAATCTACTCCCCGAACCCAAGAAAACATCTGAAAGGTCTTTCTTGTGCTTTTGACCTTTCCTTAGGATAAAATAAAAAGTCGGTGGCGACTCTTGCTAAACCGAAACATTTGCGAACACAAACGTAAAATCCTAAGTCAGTTCTTCCACCGTATCACACAATCCAAGGGAAGGAAATTCTACATTGACTCATTGTGTCAAATGTTGGCTTCTTGTTGGTTAGACGGTTGTTTTCCCTAGCTTTTACCCGATGCTTTAGGATAATCCCTTCATCTCCTCCCATCTTCTTTAATTTAAAAAATCTTCTCCCTCCTTTTTGAAACTCTTCTTATTTTTTTTAAACTTGAACCGCTTTCATAATAAAATTAGACTTAGGTCCATGCATTTTCAAAATATTTTCTTAATTAAATTTTAAGCAACTTAATAATACTTTGACATTTTTGTAAGAAGACTAAAAGTCAATCAATCTCATCAAACCATTTTATCACTTTGGCTTTTTACCTTGAAAACTTTTTCTCAAAAGATTAGACTCTTGTCAATCCTTGTAGTGATGAGAAATATTATACTTTTGCGATATGTAGTGAAGTGAGATATTTTCCACTTGGGTGTTGGGCGAGACTTTGTTAATTTTAAAATCCAAGTCATATCCTCCACTTTGAGATGACGCAAATTCTCCTTTCTCATAATGGTGGATAGTAAGTGTGTTCTTCCACTCGGATACGACGATAATGTATCGTCTCTTAAAATTAACCAACACACTTGTGTTTTAAAATTTTTAAAGGTGAACTACGAGTACCCTGATCCCCTATTGCACGGAAGGTGGTACGTAGGCACTAAAGGTTCACAACTGTGGCGGGTGCAAAAATTGTAAAATATACTTATTTTCTCATCTCCATAATCTATTTTTGTATACAACTCTTATAGCCAAAATATATAAATTTTCAAAGAGGTTCCTGCAGAGTACCGTAGATGTTTAGGATACTAATACCTTCCTTTTGCATAACCAACCCCCGAACTTAGATTCTCTCTCCCTCTTTTTGGATTATTCTCTCTTTTCCCATTCCTTTGGAAACAATAAAGCGCGGTGGCGATTTTTATTTGATCTGTGCGAGTGAATTCAATCCAATGGTTTAGTCTCAATATTTCTACTGCTACAGGTATGAAATCATACGACCATCACACCCATAGAATTTTCCAACTCTAGATTTTACAGAAGAAAAGGACATATAAATGTCTTTTGTTGAGTTTGTCTTCAAGGACGGTATTGAAACGAAACCAAAACGAAGCAAACGAACCTAGATTGGAGACTTGACCACTTATATGTGCAAGACAAAGACGAAAAAGGTAAAAAAAAATTAAGTAGAAATTAGGTTAGGGTAAAATGAATTGGGGAAAAATAACTTACATTTTTCAAGAAGTAAAAAATGAATTTTAATAAACTTATTCGATGTTGACCATCAATATTAATTGAGAAATTTAAAATTTAATCCACTTGTCCCGCCACTTTATACTCCATTAGTCACACATAACGTCAGAAACCAAATGTGTGGATGGAAAAAACTTGAAGGACCACTCTTTGAAGAAATCTTTTTAAAGGATTAAAAACTAAATTGGGAATATTTAGGAGAACCACAAATATATTTAACCGTAAAATAAAACTTTCTAATGTTATCTTCAAAATATCTTAACAAAATTTGTTTAATTAAGGAAAGAGATAGTCGTGGCGAAAATAATTTATTATTGGAGGTAAAACTAAAGGATATTATTGGAATATTTTTATTAAATATTTAATTTATTTATAGATTTTAATATTATTATATGAACATATATATTTTAATTAATTATATCACCTATTTATTAACTAGAGATTTTAATTGATTAGTGATCAAATGACATGATAAGGTTAATTATATTAGTAATTAGATAATTAATTATATATTTAATTAATTAATATGAGGTCAATTTGACTGGATGACACCATGATCTACTTCTAATGAAAACTCTAATTGATCATTACAATATATATATATATATATATATATATATATATATATATATATATATATATATATATATATATATATATATATATATATATATATATATATATATATATATATATATATATATATATATATATATATATATATATATATATATATATATATATATATATATATATATATATATATATATATATATATATATATATATATATATATATATATATATATATATATATATATATATATATATGCTCTGATCTTCAATATATCAGATAATTTGCATATTATATTTTCTCTATATATCAAGAGGTATAAGACATAAAGAGTCCAGATTGAGAAAGAACCACAATTCAACGAGTCCTCGTCCTTCGTCTCTCTTTCTTTGCATGTCTTTTAAGATTACTATAATCATTACTTACAAGCCTTTTTTTTGTTTGGATCTATTCTAGTATTCTTATAATATTTTATAGATCAACAAGTCGTAGATCCTAAGACTATTTTATATGCATGTTCATTTGTCTATTTAACTTCTATACTAAAGTATGATTATAATTTTAATTTGTATTGAGCATGTCTTGTATAGATTAATAATTAAAATAATTTCAATAAGTGATATTATAACAAATCTTCATGTTTGGTTTATTAAGATTAATTGTATGATATGTTTGAATATTCATGTTTGTATATTTTATATACATTCTCTCAATTTTATGAAAATGTTGATATTGATATTCACCTGAATATTCTATCATATATGAATAATTATATGTATAGTAAATCAATTTTATTTTATTTCATATTTTTTTATATTCTTATACCAAACTTTAAGTCTGTTTATGGTAAAAAATTGATCAATTTTTCAGCAAATGTCATTTGACGTTATGAATTGACAATTTTTCTCTCTTTAAACTTATAAGATAGTAGGACAGTCAAAACACTGAAGGACAAATGGATTCCAAAAAATATGGGAGAAAAATCTCAAGCTCTTGCTAACAATGTTTACAAGGTGAAGGTTAGAAACAACTTCAGTCTGTTGGAGGCCACAAACATCTTGAGCATTCCCCTCTCTTGGGGACTCCCAGAAGACAAGTTAACTTGGGAGGCTAAGAAGAATAGTTTATACTTTGTCAAGTCAGCATACCACAAACTTAGGACCAAGAGAAGTGAAGAGAGGCTTGGACCTTCACACCAAATGTTCCAAGGCTTGCAGAGACATTTCCGGGTTGCTCTAGTGCATAACAAAATCAAAAACATCATCTGGAGAATTGAAAAGAATTTCATACCTGTCAAAGCCAACTTACTCAAGAAAGGAAACAAAGCTCCCTCTGAATGCCCTCTTTGTCACAATTGCCTCAAAACAACTGAGCATATGTTCTTTGAATGTAATATCCCAAAATTGGTTTGGTTTTCATCCCCCTTAGGCCTGTGTATCTCACCTAACATTGTTCTTAGTTAGTTACTTAATGATAATGATGAATCGTCTGAGGAAGGTGAGGAAACACAAAATGTTGAGTGAATGAGAGACCAATAAGAATAAAGAACATTCCAAGAAAACTACAAGATTGTGAACTAAACAATGAAAATTAAGTTATTGAAGAAGGTGGTTTGGTTCATATGATACAAATGGCAGATGATGAGCCCACCAACCATCATGAAGCATTAATGAACAAGGAATGGAAAAAGGATATGAAAGAAAAGTTAGCTAAAATTGAAATGAATAATGCATGGGTGCCAATAGTTTTTCCATCTGACAAGAAGGCTATTGAAGTAAAATGGGTGTTCAAGTTGAAACACAAAATAAACAGATTAATTAAAAATATAAGGCCATACTATTTACTTGAGGGTTCCTGCAAAGGCCATGTCTAGACTATTTAGATGTTGATACTCCTATAGCCATAATTGAAACAATTATGCTTAAGATAGACATAACAAGTTCCAAGGGATGTACAACATTTGTTGTCTCTGGCAACACTTTTTTAGGTAACATGTAGAAATTGTTGCCTTAAATTCATATAGGCAACGATTTACGATTGTTGTCAAAAATATGTTTGCAACCCTTGATAATCGTTGCCTAAAATACTTTTGGGGACGTTTATGGAGCGATACTCTTTTATTTTTTTGTCAACGGTTGTTAATTGTGTCCTTAACTGCTTTTGGGGACGATTTTAGAGCGTTAAAATATTATTTCTTTAGCAATGTTTGACAATTGTCCCCTAAAATATTTTTGGGGACATTTTTTTATTGTTACATTAGTTCTAATAAAAGGCTACATTTCCGAAATGTTGTATAAATTTTTTTAGAATTATCAAATTTTTGGTGACAATCTTCCCTCCAAAACTTATACACTAAAAAACAAATATTTTTCTCTAAACATTATTAATATATATAAAAAAAAAAATTTCTAACACAGAAATTTAAAAATAAAAAATTTCAATTAAACAGAAAATAAAAATTATATATATATATATATATATATATATATATATATATATATATATATATATATATATATATATATATATATATATATATATATATATATTAAAAAAATAGAAATCTAAAAATGTAAAAACTTATGTTATATATATATTAGTCTAAAACAGAAATCTAAAACTTATATATATATATATATATTAAAAAAAAATTCATTAAACAGAAAATAAAAAGGGCATGGTGCAGCGGCGGAGGCGGAAGAGGAAACGGTTCATCCTCTACATTCTGCAGCTGGCATGGTGTCACTTGCGGCGGAGGCGGAAGAGGAAACGGAAGAGTGGTTTCACTTAATGTGACCGGTCTACGCGGCGGTGAACTGGCGTCTTCCATCGGAGAGTTATCCGAGCTTCGAGTTTTGTCGATTCCTGAAAACATCTTCTTTGGCGAAATTCCGGTGAGTTTGATGAATCTCCGGGGACTTGAGGTTCTTGAGCTTCAAGGTAACAACTTTTCAGGAAATGTGTCTTTACAGATGAGTTATTTTGAATCGCTTAAACTTGTTAATCTATCTGGTAATGCTTTTTCTGGTAGTATTCCGGATGGGTTTATTTTTTCTAAGAATATGAAAATTGTTTATTTGTCTGATAATCAATTTTCTGGTTCGATTCCTGTGAATGATTCTGTTGGTTGTGATTCTCTGAGGCATTTGAAACTGTCTCATAATTTTTTGACTGGTGAGATTCCTCCTCAATTTGGGAATAGCTGGATTTACACTTGGTCTTGTGCTTCTGCTTATAGGTTTTGTTATACCCCTAAGCGACGGTATTGGTGTTGTTGTTGATGCTTCTGTGTTTCACGAGTCATTTCTTGCTAGCGGCATTGGTAAGCTATACCCTTTAGATGTAAATTTAAGCTTGCATTCATTTGTGATTTGATCATAAAAATCATATTTAATCTATATTAGCAAAATTATATTATTCTCCTAAGTGTGGGGTTTGCAAACCAATCTTTTATTTTGAAGCAAGACAATGTAATGAATTTCACTAGAAATACAATGAACAATACAGTGTGTAAAGATTCTGGAACTAGTCATGAACGGAGTCACTCTTGCTAGAGAATTAGCAATCTAGTTTGCATGTTTTCTACCAAACCTCACACTGAGGTTTTGAGTAGATAAAAGAAGAGACCTACATTCCGAGATATTGAAAAAATGAAAAACAAAATTTTCTTTTAAAAGATTGGACTGGTTTCTCAAGTCTGTTTATGAAAATGATCCAATCTGTAATTAGATTAAATTCATAAAATTACTGTACTAGTTATAGTTATACTTGATAAGATGTCAATAGTTGTAAAAAAAAAGATATGCCATTAAGAAAATCACTAAAATCACTAAAATCAAACAAGAAACTAGGATAATTTGCAATTTAGAAATACTTGTGACACTGTTGATTATCTTTCATTAGTTTGATATTTTAAATTAGCTTCTTTGAAATATCGTTGAATATCCTTACTGCATGATATATCACTAAATATCCTTAGGGTGAGATTAGATTAATTTTCTAGTTCCATTATAATTCAATCTAGGAACATCCTTACTGCATGATATATAACTGAATATTTATATTTGCTGCTTCGTTAATTTAGAAAGGTATTTACTGTTTTAGCAAAACTGCTTCTTGGCAACGTTCTCAAGGAAGGAACTCCAATTTCTGTGAACCCTCTTGTGATTTGGGCTTGGGCAGGACTCCTTATCAATGCCATCAACAGTATTCCTGCTGGAGAGCTTGATGGAGGGAGAATTTCTTTTGCCTTATGGGGAAGAAAGGTATCACAATACATTTTACAAGTTAGCATTATATTAACCGTGTTCTTTATGACAATTTTTGTTTTGTTCTGCCATCTTACAAATTGAAGAGACAATTGCAATTCAAGGAAATAATTCCTTTGGGATTAGCATTGTACTGTCTTGATAGAAAATTATGAAGTCAATGAAAACTTGCCCATGCTTCATAATTTTTCTGGCTCCGCCACTGAATACAGTATTTAGTATACTTTCTTTGATTGGTTTTCCTATTATGAGTTTAAAATCTGGCAGTGTAAATAAATACAACACATGCATGCTTCAATCTTTCCTTCCATCTCCTTCTTTGTTTTGACTTTGATAAATATGTATTTTATATTGTCTCAAGTTAGAATTTGAGTTTGAAACAATAAAAAAGAATAGAAGTTATATCTAGCTATCAATTAATAAATTTTATATTTTCTTTTATTGGAACTCTATCTATGGTCACAGTTTTAGGACCGTACATGTATTAACTTCAATCATTTCCTTCCATACCTGGCTAGCTCCGTTAATTTGAAAAAAAAAAACAAATGAGTGTTGCAATCAACACTCATTTTTTTTCCATATATGTCTGAAAATTACATTAATGCAATGAAGAAAAACCAACCATAGTGCTTACTGAAATTTTTTTCTTTAAATTTGGTGTATCTTCTTTCAGCTTACTATGCAAGGGAAACAACATATTGAATCTTCTAGCAAAGTAAACAATATCAAGCATCGTGACGAAACACCGCCTGATGTTAGAGTACGGAAACTAAAGGATCAGCTCATCCAAGCTAAAGTTTATCTTTCCCTTCAGGCAGTTAGGAACATTCCCCATCTCACTCGGGAACTTCGGCTACGGGTAAAGGAAGTTTCACGAACAATTGGAGAGGCAAGCAAAGATTCTGACTTGCCAAGGAAGTAAGTGAGTTTTTAAGAATGTATTTTTTGTACTTGTCACCGGGTTTTCCTATTTTTATATAGCTATTACGTTAGTTATTTCATATTTAGCTTTATTGGGAAGTAGCATACAAATATGTTGAATAGTTCAGGTCTTCATGATCTACATTTTATTCAGTTTGAACTTATATTTGTAATTCTACTAATGCAGTGCAAATGAGAGAATGAAGGCAATAGAGCAATCATTGATGAAAGCAAGGCAAATTCAAGATGATTGTGCCACATCCGTGAAGAAGCTTAGGGCTATGCTCCACTCATCAGAGGACCAGCTTCGCGTGCACAAGAAACAAACCTTATTCTTAACACAGTTGACAGCTAAAACACTGCCTAAAGGTCTCCATTGTCTTCCGTTGCGCCTTACAACTGAATATTATAACTTGAACTCTTCTCAGCAACAATTCCCCAATCAAGAGAAGTTAGAAGACCCTGGACTATACCATTATGCAATATTCTCAAATAACATATTGGCCACAGCTGTTGTTGTGAATTCTACTGCTGCCCATGCTAAGGTAAGTTATTTTCACGTGGAGATTTCCTGAGTTGTTTTTATTCGCCAGGATTATGAAACTGAACACCAAATAAAATAATCTGTTATAGTATCTCTCTGCAGTTAAATTACTATTCTCTCAATGTTTTAACAAACTAATATGTTTTCATTTTATTTGTGCCTAGAGGTAGTGATGGATAAAAAATGAAAACAAAAACCTTATCTGTTACAATATAATGGTGGTATTTTTCTTTCTGATCAGCATAATAATAATGTAGTTTTAATAAATTTTCAGGATTCCTCCAAACATGTTTTCCACATTGTAACTGATAGGCTCAATTATGCGGCAATGAGGATGTGGTTTTTGGCCAATCCACCTGGAAAGGCGGCAGTTCGAGTTACAGTCCAGTTCTTAAGCAGCTAGATGATGAATTTCAAGAGGAGGATATAGATGGTGAATTTCAAGAGGACGACGTAGATGAAGAATTTATGGAGGATGACATATCTAACGAATTTCAAGAGGACGATCTGGATGCTTTACTCCTAGAAGACAAACTTGAATGAGTTGGATGGTGTCTTTTTTTTTGGCTTGTAGTTGAAAGCATTAAACTTGAAATATGATTTTTGTTCTTTTGCTGAACTATGTTTTTAGTTATTTTACTAGGGTCATACTTCAAAGTATTAAAAGTAATATTGTTACGTTAGGCATTTTGTGTACTCTATATACTATATCTTGAATTAAAGTTTGAACTCGATTTTATTATATTACAACTTTTATGGATGTATGGTTTAAGTTATATAATCAATATTATTTTTGAAGCCAATTATTATTGACTATATTATTTTGATAATAATTGCAAAATTGTATATTTTATGTGGACACTATAAAACAACAACCTATAAGCTATGGCTACACTTCAAAAACGATCTTCCTGATTCAGGTTTAAGGCGAAGATTGTTAATTGTAGCCGAATTTGGCAACGCAACGCTTAAAAAACGTTGTCTCAGAGGTCGTAAATAATCGTCCCCTATTCCTTTACTATAGGCGACGTTTTTCAAAAGCGTTCCCAAAAAACATAAAAAAACGTTGCCTCAAACAATAGGCAACCCTCGCACAGGAGACGCCTAGAAAACGTCCCCTATTGTTTTAGGCAACGATTTTCAGAGTTCTGGCAACGTTTTTCAATTGTTGCTGGAGAGCCTAAATGTTATAGTGGTTGCACCCAAAAAATTTGATATGTGAATTTCAAACACATGTTTCACATCATTTACATTAGAATCAAAATCATTCATATCATTGGTTCCTAAAAAGTATGGGATCACAATCTCCTTGTAATTAGGGTTTTGAAAAAGAGAAGCTCATATCTAAAAGGATTTGATCATCATAATGATCATTTCTATCAAAACACAAGGATCATCAACAATGTTATCTTATAGTCTTCAAAGCATCTCAATTACATCATAATCACAAGATTTTATTGGTTGTAGAGAATTTGAATTCATCTGGTGAAAAGTCAACTACAAAGTCAAAACTTTAACTTTTGGAATTTTTGGTCAACCATAGACTTCTCAAGCTGAGGATCATAAAAATATGATTGATAAAATCATTTGATCAAGATTAAATCAAGAAATCGAGAAAAAGAATCAAAAATGCAAAATTGGGGTTTTGAGAATCTCACCAAGTCCTTAGAATTCTCATGTTCAAATGTACTACTTTGTAGACTTGTAACTTCTTCATAAAGCAACTACTTTTCTTGCTCCAAAGATCAAATTGAAGATAACGTTTCATACTATAACTTTGTCATAGGAGATGATCTCCGAAAAATGCACGGATTAAAAGATATGAGCTTACAAAGTCATGACTTCATTAGCCAACACTTAGAGAAAATTTTCCAGCATGTTGACCTTATCAAGAAGTTGACTTTATGGTCATTTTTCTCTATGTCTCATTTGATTCAAGGAAAGTGGTCAACGTGAAAGTTGAAGAGGATGTTTCAAGCTTTCCAAAGATTCCAATAGCATGAATTTATCACAATTGAGCTATGAATTTCAAAGAGATGAAGTTGGCATTCAAAACTGAATTGGAAGTCCATTTTCCTATCAAGTTCACATGCAATCTCAAATGATAAAGCTACATAATCTACAATATCTTGCATTGAGACCTCTAATACTTAAGATTTCTGATGTTTAGGATGCCCTAACATTGTATTATTCAAGGAGTCCAAGCATTACCCAAGTTCCACACCATAAATAGACCAAAAGCATAAAGTGATTTTTTTGTCAAAATCTCAAAAATCTTACTTTATGATCTTGAGCCTTGTGAACCTGAATTTGATCTAAACATACTCCACCTAAATCATCTAAAATACTCCATCAAATATTATCCAAGAAAGCCATGTCATTTTTGTTTCTTCACCATTAAGCTGCATCACACTTTTGGACATTTTTGTTCAAGAAATCTATTTCCTAATATAGGGTAATCGATTTCCATAGCAGATTTTTGCATTCCAACACCTCCGTTTGTGTAGTTTTTGAAGGGGAAATCGATTTCTCCATTTGGGGTAATCTATTTCCTGAGTGTATTTTTAATTTTTTTTTCTTTTTATCACTTATTTTCCCTCAACTTTCTATTTGATTTTCAATATTCAAATCAACTCCTTTTCAATACCAGAATTTGTACTTGTCAGCAGAATCAGGATCAGAATTGTAAGTATTTAGAAAGAAAGCAAAGCATATATAAAACCTTTGTATTAAAATTGCGTGCTTACAAAGGAAATAAAAGTCCCTTTATATAGGGATACAAAGGCTTACTATTTAAGCCGGTAATAGCTACTTATGATAGCCAGTTACAACAAACAAAGATGAATTATTAATGTCGGGTACACAATGGACCTCATCGACACAAAAATAATTCATAAACAACAAAATAGACAACAGATTCTTTTCAAGATAAGATTCTCTCTTATCTTTATTTTTGGAATTATTGCTTCTGGACAATTCTTGTCATTGCTTTGTCTCTTGTCATAGATTTATTTCCAATAAGATTCTTTTATTGTTTCAAGATAAGATTCTCTCTTATCTTTGTTTTTTCCATTATTGCTTATGGACAATTCTTGTCATTGCTTAGTCTCTTGTCATAGCTTTAGCCTTGATCTTTTCTTTAGCCTTTTGGGCCATAGATTGAATCATAGCATCCCAGGAGTCTTCAGCTGTGGGATCATCATTTTGAGCTTCTCCAGCTAAACCTTCAAAGGTGTTGGAATCTATTGATCCCATGGACGAACTAGTCTTCATAGATTGCATATCATCTTTTGAAGTTTGAGATTGGAAAGTGTAGAAGAATTGAGTCTTCATATGATCTAAAGTTCTGACCATAACTTCTTCTTCTGTTTCATTGGGATACTTTCTTTGAAAAAAGTTTTTCAGGTTTTCCATAGACATTTGTTGAGAGTTTTAATCTTTAACATTGCTATTTTTATCTTCACTCATGGCTGATTTGATTAGAACAATTTTGTCCTGGATGTCTTCTAAACTCATTTTATTCCACCATTTGTAGAAAAAATTTCTTTCTAGAATTGACACATTAAATTTGTCACTGGAAATAGTGATAGTCCATCTACAAATCCAAGGAATTTGAAACTTAGTGAAGAAAAGAAACGGACATTGTCCAGTTATCAAATTTGATGAAATATTTAATACTAGTGGACTATTTTCGCACCAAGGAGTATACAATTCATTTAAATCTTTTGGCAAAATTTCTAGCGTAGGACCAAATTTAATCCACTAGACATAAAACCAATTTGGAATGAGTCTATTAATCACATCTGGATTAATTGAGAAAAACCAAGAATATTTGTTCTTAGGATTTTGGTAATAAAAGGCTTGGGTGAAAGCCAGGACATAGTCCCAATAATTGAAATAAATATATTTTCCTTTGGAAATTCTTATTGCCTTTTCACCATTAGGGTTAAGACCCCATTCTCTAGGTGATAAGATCTTATTAATGTGGCATTTGCTGAAGTTTATGAAACTTTCAGGATTGTTGTTTTGATAATGATAAGTAAAAGTTGTTGATTCAGTAACTGCTAGTAATATTTCTAAATGTGGTCTTGATTTACCATGAAGGCCTGGATATCCTCTTGATTCGAGGTATCTTGTTTTGATAGCCCATTCATCATTTGGATTTATTTTTATATCCTCATCATCAATATACATAATTTTTTCTGTAACTGGATTCTCAAAATAATCAGTTACTTGTTCTTGAGGGGGTCATTGACCGTAATTTCTTTGTAAGATATAATCTTTTTAGAAGATGAAGAAGAAGGTATATCTTCCTTTTTTGAGGTAGGTAATTGCTGCATATTTCTACCTTTATAGATTGTAGTCCAATCCCCTATAAGGGGAATGTTTAATTCACTTTGGGGTAACATATTGTTACTCCCTCTTCCAAGGCCTCGTCCATAACCACGGCCTCTTCCTCCCCTAGATGGGGGTGTCATTCATTCCCTGCAAAAATTCACGGGGTGAGGTAATCAGCAAGTGAATTATTTTCACCTTTAATATGTTTAATATCAAATTCAAACATTGATAGTTGAGATTTCCAACTAGCAAATATTTGTTTTGCAACAAGATTTTTAACATTTTTTTCAATAATTGATTTGGCAGAGCTGCAATCAATTTGTAATAAAAAAAATTATTAAGTAAATCATCTTGAAATTTTGAAACACATTTTATAATAGAAAGCATTTCTTTTTTGATGGTCGAATATTTTGACTGAGTAGGATTCCATTTACCAGAGGTAAACCTAACCAAAACTTCTTTGGATGTTTCAGGTATAATCTGTTTTAGAATTCCTCCATATCCTAAATCAGAAGCATCGGTTTCGACGATTTTAAAATACTTGGGATTAGCCAGAGATAAGCAAGGCAAACATTTAACCTTGTTTTTAATTCTTCTGACTGCTTGAGAATGTTTATCAGTCCAAGGACCAGGATTTTTTCTAAGCCTAGCATGTAATATACTAGTATCATTAGCAAGATTCTCATAGTAATCGGCAATATAATTAAGACTACCAAGAAATCTTTGAAATTGTTTCTTATCAGTAATGATATCAGGGAACTTAGAAGCAAATTCAATACTTCATTGAATAGGAATAATAGTTTCTTGATCAATTTCATGTCCTAACAATCTAATTTTCGTTTGAAATATTTTATTCTTATGCGCGGATATAACTAATCCATTATGCTTAATTAAACCTTTGAATATTTTCAAATGTTTCATATGTTGATCAATTGTTTTAGAAAAAACTAAAACATCATCAATGTAAACAATTATAAATTCCGTATAAGGATTAAAAATATCATTCATAATGTTTTGAAATTCGGAAGGGGCGTTCTTTAATCCAAACGGGAGAACATTCCATTC